ACAGTAAGAACATAACATGATACTAACATGTAACGGCAATTCACCAATGAAAGAAGAGCAACGGTTATCTAGTGTTGTATTTGAAAAATAATACTGCTAAAAAGCTGTCAGTGGTATCGTTTTTTATCTCCCATCTCATCCCATCCCATCCCATCCAATCCCATCCCATCCCATCCCATCCCCATCCCATCCCATTCCCATTCCCATCCCATCCCATCCCCATCCCATCCCATCCCATCCCAAAAAGAGAACGAGTAGTCTAATTGTTTTAGCATAAACCTACTAGCTAATATTATAGTTTTGAAAACAAAGAATGACACTGAAAACTTTACTGAACAAAACGACGATCAACTGGTGGCACCGTTTTCATTCATCTTTGCGAACTGGACTATCTTAACGTATAAGCTTAAACTTCAAGTAGTGCTCTATTTCTATAGCTTTTTGTCTCTAATATTACAGTCAAAACTATCCTTCCAATATTTTCCATCTTTTTATCTGTTCTTGGGTGCTTTTCTAATTGAATGAGTAATAAACTAAACGGATTTATTATTCCCAAATACTTTGTTGTCAGATCATTCAAGCCAGTGCCATGTTTACAATTCGCTTAGGCTTCTTGTCAGTTAATTTGCACTTTGCACTTTAGTGTTTCGTCTGTTCTTACCGTTTAAAATTCTTCTTGAATAAATGTGAATAAGTTGTCTTGTGGATTTTTAGTGGTCTTTTGAGGAAATCTTTTAAAATGCTATCGTTATCGTGTAGTCAGTTGTTCGTGCGTCCGGTAAGTTTGCACATGAAAACCTCAATGAAATTAGACGGCCGCTTTTTCGTGTTAAAATTGCTATAATTCTTCAGTTTTTACTTATCTGTACCGTCCCGTCCAAAACCTCTATTCCTTTCCTTGATACAGGCTTGTCTTTTCTACATTAACTTTTAAAGATATTTTTAGAAAACAAGCAGAGATTCAGCAAAACTTGTCCATGCACTTGTTTGTTTTTCGCTACTCACTATCTATCACAGGATAGATAGTGTTAAAGTTAGTAAATCAGATGATCGTGATAGTATACTAGTAAGTTTATGATAATATTTATTTTTTCCATATATTTTTATTTTCAAGTCAATCCTGACTTGACTAAATATTCAATACTTTAATGTTTCTAGGGAGAAGCAGATGTGATTCAACAGATCCGGGATATTAATGACAATCCTCCGGTCTTCACCAACCTGCCGAAGAATATCAGCATTAAAGAGGTCAGGAGGGATAGTGTTTAGTGTCTTAATTCAATACCGGTATTTGATAGAATATCAAAATATGAATTTGAAATAATTAGAGTAATTGATAAAAAGTCTTTTCATTCAGGATACCTCTGTAGGTTCATTAGTGTTTACAGTGAGTGCAACCGATGCAGATTCATCCCCTGCTAATGCCTTCGTATTTGCCATTGAAACTGGTAATGAGGTAAGGGTCATATAAAGGAGTTGAAAGTAGATGTTGCTGTGTCTAATAGGTGTCTAATAGGCCTCTCCACAGTTCTCCACTAGTCTGAATAATATGTTATTCCATTACAGACCACCTGTCATTCCCTAGAGTATCATTTCTTTGTTTAAAGAGCTAGATAGCTCAGAAGAAGATCGACGCATGAATATGGATACAACTCAAACAAAAAACCGTATTCTCAAAAGAATGCAAGGGCGGATCTAGGGTTTTTTGAAGGGGGGGGTCTCAGGGGTAAATTTTTTGGGCAAAGGAATCCCAGTCGCATTTTTACCACAGGAAGCCCATTTGATCTCAGGAATGACAGGGGGGTCGCGACCCCCCGACCCTCCCCCTGGATCCGCCCTTGGAATGACACGTTGTCTGGAATGGGGAAAGAGTATACCCAAGTTAAATAGGTCTATTAGATTATAAGAATTTGATTTCTTGATGTTGTTCTTCCTGTATTTTTTCTATAATTCCTTATAAAGTCAAGTCTCACTTGTTATCTTCAACGAAGACTATTGCTGAGAAAATAACATTCACTTTTCCAGGAAGGAAGATTCGAATTCCCTGATTCCAGTGATAACGAAATTAAACTGAAGAAATCTCTTGACTATGACGATGGTACAAAACAGTTCGTGCTTCGAATTATCGCAAAGGTGTGTAAATGTCGTCTGAATATTCAAAATCTGTTATTTTATTGTAGATTCTCCTGTGGCGACTAGCATTTTTGTACCAAGACATATAATTGTCATTCAACCAATGAGAGCGCGCGCCTTTTAGCTACCTTTGGTTCCTTGCTCTATTAGTGAAGCATAGCGGATGAAGCTATAGAAAAAATCGTAACATTTTTGTTCGAATACGGGGAATTGCTAGATGGTATCAGTGACATAGGTCAAATAAAGGTCAAATAGGTACCTATGGAAAGGAAATTTATCGTTCTAGGAGGATGCGGTTATAAATTTTGAAAGTTAGCATTTTTGACCATTAAAATGGCTTTGAGTGAGAGCTGGTCGCCTTCGAGGTTTCCTGCTTTGTCTTTTTTTCTTACGGGGAGAACTGACACTGTTAAAAACACCTCTATTTATCGGTAAGCTTACATTAAGATAAGTCTATTGGCAGCAATTTTTACAATTCGAAACTAGGTATACAAAAAAAGTAAATCTTATTTAGGCCTCAAGAACACTGCTTGGGCTGCCTGTGGATTCATAATCTTAATTTTAAAAAGAGTGATAAGCCGGCTTCAAAAGAAGGAAAGAAAGGAAGGAAGGAAGGAAGGAAGGAAGGAAGGAAGGAAGGAAGGAAGGAAGGAAGGAAGGAAGGAAGGAAGGAAG